GGGCTTACAACAGAATCTTCTTCTTCTGGAAAATCTCCAGGAAGAACAGAGCAATATCGACAACATAGTTCATCACCTCAATTTGACTGAAGCACGAAAATGGACCCGCAGGGCCATTTTCCGGTTTTCCGGTTTCGTTGTTGTATAAATATTACTGCGCATGCCCAACATTTTGTTGCCTGTTTTCGCCTATTTTTGCTTTGGCACCACAGCGCCACTTACAGGCCTGGCATACATTTTGCAACGTTTTCGTGCATTCGTGTGGTCGATCACATTTATTTTACGTCTCCTTCTTTATGATAAGCGTTTTGGAAAATATTAGCGTTTCGTGTTCGTTTTGACTTCGTGTGGACGGGGCCTAAAACCTACAGGAAGTCGGCCATTTTGAGTCAAATGTCGATTTTTTTTTTATTTTTTTTTTTACAATTTTTCAATTCTCTGGGCGTCGAATTTTAATTATCTCCTCCTAGCATTTGAGCCATCGGCTTCAATTAATTTTGTTTTTGTAGGCTGAACCACATATTGAAGTTCAATTTTCAACAAAAAAATAAACAAACAAAAACAAAAAAAAGAAAACATTAAATAGATTAGTGATGTAGGGAATTTAACTCTTTTTGACGCTCCTCCATGTCTGAACAACATTCTCACAAGCAATGTTTATTCTCCTTCCTCCTCATTGCCTCCTCCCTTTTAAACCTGTTCTCCCTCTGAAGCCTGGGAATAATGTCCGTCGCGTTTTTTTTTGTTTGGGGGGGCGCTCTGCATTGGGGGGCATGTGGAGGGGGGCTTTAACCCGGTCACAGCGCAGGGAAGTTGCGCACCGTGTTAGTGCGTTGCCATGGGGTTTTGTCAAACCTATTGACTGCAATAGGGTCCTTGCTTTTCTTCTGAGTCTGTCTTTGTTAAAGGGGGAGGAGGAAGGACCCCCTACTACTTTTTTCCCCTTAAGTCTCGCAAAGGCGCGTGAGGAGGCAAGAGGAAAAGTAGGAGGAGGAGGGGAGCCGAAAGGAGCAACAGCATCCAGGGGAGGTTGGAAAGGGAGGAGGAGGAGGAGACGCTGAGGTGTTCTGCTTTGGACCAACAGATAAGGGAAGCGGCTCTACGTTTAACAGTCACACCTCCACCTCTTTCTGCCGCCGGTGGACGCAAATCAACTTTGGGAAGGGCTGCGGCATGAGACGCACCTGACGGTGAGTTTGCATCACTTTATGGCTCATGGTGTGCGAGAAAATCTTTCCTCTTGGTTAATAGCTGTCAGTCTGATCATTTATTGGCATCTGGATGTTGCAAAAATAAATAAATATAGAAATAAATAAATGGTACCACTGTGCACCGGTAAAAACCTGTACTTTGTTCAATATTGGCTATTTAAGAATTTATATGTTTGATTTAAGGTTTACATGTCAGATGTATTATTTTGATAACACGTGTTTAATTGGATCAAGGTGTGTTGCATGTTTTCCTTTTAAAAATAATAATACATTCCTATCGCTTAATGTGATAATTATACATTTTTCTAGGTTTCAGGTAGATTTATATTTTATTGAAATAAAAATAATAAAAAAATCTTTATTTTATTTTATTTTATTTTATTTTAATGCCTGTCATAGTTGGTCTTATAACAGGAACTCCCGCTGTTTTATGTGTTGAGAATCTCTTTGAGATCTACCTGATATCTCCACTGCTAATAGACAGAAACATTGATATCTGCTTTTTTAGTATTCTATTCTCATCTCTTCACAGTAGCATATGAATTATTTGAGCAATATTTCTAAATAAAATAAACATAAAATAAACATAAAATGCTTATCTAGAGGTGGTTCATAGTGGGGCTTAAACTGATGTGTGGGGTGTTTAAAACCAAGAAGCATTCATTCTCAGGATGATGTTCTAAAATCCAGTTTGATAATTAAGATATAAATGTTAAAATATGTAAATATAATATGTATCTGAATACAATTCCTGTACTTTACTTCCCATCTTTTGCTGTTACTTGTTTAGAAAATTAAAAGTTCAGGAGGGACTGTAAACACCTGTTTTTATTTCTGAGGGTTATTTGAGTCATTTAGGTTTTATACCAATAATCCGAGTCCCTTTTCTCACTGAATTCGATAAAATTATTGCATTGCTTATGTTTAGCAGTGCAGTAAATTAAAAATGTATTTTATCCATATAAACTCTCAACACTATACAGTAAATACTGTTGAAGATTTTGTTTGTCGCCTGTTACTTTTTTTTTCCTGAGATAAGGGGATTTTGGCCCAACTGGTGTTTCTGCAAGTTGGACTAAATATACTGCTATAACGTAGCATCTATATGTATCACCAGACAGCAAGATACACTTTGTGAAATGTACAGATTTAAAAATGACTCCATTTATATACAGATGTGAAGTGCAAGCTTAATCTGCAGCATAGTGCAGCAACTGACACAACATGGAGGACTCAGTGAGGATGAAGGGAGGTCGACAGCAGGGCAAGTCAGTGCATTATCCAATGTTTGTTTTGTTTCTAGTGAGGAAACGCCGACAGCTGTTGGTAATGACAGTAGCTATGTTTGCATGTGCAAAATTGTCTGATCTAATTAAAATGTGCTCTGATTTAAACAAAAAACTGTACTTCTAATTCAAAATTTATATTAGATCAACATATAACAACTGGATTGTGCACCCACCTTTATTCAAAGTAGAAGCTCTCTGACATGTGCAGAGTTTTCAGTTTTTCCTTAAAGGGGTCTTAGAATGCTTATATAGGTATTTGGTGCTGGTCCTTAATGTCTCTGAATTGGGTGTGTAACTTTGGTTTGGCTGAAAATGGCATATTTGCTGTTCTATGCACCCTAATGCAAGCCTGGTTATTAGCCCTAGAATGAAATGATAGGTTTTCTTCCTTTTATGGTATGATCAAGAATATTTAGATGGGCTGTGTGTGATTGGTTGGTTTACAACGAGCGAAGCTGCTGAACAAAGACGCATCAGAGCAACAAGCACTCTCTGAAACATCAAAATTGTTGATATGGTAGGGTGACCAGATGTCCTCTTTTTCCCTGACTTGTCCTACTTTTCATTCCTTAAAAAAATCTCAGGGGGGGAATTTCAAAATCGTCCGGGATTTTGGTCAACTACAGTGCAGCACATAGTCGAGACACACTGGGCACTCAGCCCCAGAGGCTGGGGCTTGCCCGCGAACCCCTTTGGATAGGGGCAGGGAGCCAGCCAGGAAGGGCGGCTCATGGCTTTCTGGTGAGGTCGGGTCCACTCAGCTGCCCAGCAGTCAACACTTCAGGTCAATTAGATAGATGCTGGTCAGATTATGGACCCTCTCAATTTTACTCTGATAAAAACACCCTCAGAAGAAAAATACGACTTTTATTCGAAGTAGCAAAAAATCTGTTTCAACTCCTTGAAGAAAAGCTGCTTGTAGAAGCATCCTTCGAAGAAAACTATGAACATGTAAATGTAATTTAACTATAGTGCAGTTTGAGCTGAACAGTCTATGAAAATGTGTTAATGCTTTGGTTGATTGTCAGCAAGGGTCTTTTTGGTTTCATTTCTCTGTTGTGCCAAATTATTTTCCCTCAGTACAGCAGCACAAAAGTGAGGTGAACTGCAGTTTAAATGAACACCTTTATAAGGTGCTTATTTTTAAAGAATGCTTACATTGTATTAAATATCAAAGTAGTAGGGAAACAGCTGTTCCAACCGTTGCATTTCCGAATTTTCCCGAGTGCTGCCCGACTTTACACAAGTGAATGTGATTGGCTGTTTATCTTGGGGACGGGATTGTAGTAGCGGAAGGTTCGCAATTTTGGTTGTGACCGGTTTTTCAGAAGCATCTTGCTAACCATTTAGCAACTTTGTGCTAGTAGGTTCCCAATGGGAAATTACATTTGGACCAATAAGCACTTAGAAACGACACTGCCAAGGAAGGCTATGAACAGCTGAAACATGCAAGAGGAGGAGAGTTTTGTGTCGGAGGTTGTGGATGTGTCTCCTCCGTCATACCTTTTTTATTTAGAGGAGGAAAGCAGGGACAAAGTTGTTATGGAAGAGGACGCCAGGGTGGCAGAAGCATCGTTTGGTGTAGAAGGCTCACAAACGTACATGTTTGAGCCCTTGCCTCGCAACGCTTCTGTTAGCTCTACGTCTGCCGAAGACACAGACATCCATCCCTATGAACACTGGCACGCAACTCAATGGTAGAGCAAATTATTCCTATTTCTTATTTCAACCTTTGCGTGTATTAGCTGTGACATATGAATCAAAATGCTATGACCAAAAAAAATTTGATTGACAGATAACCATTAATATATGATTGGCCAAATTTAGGTGTATAAGCTGACGTATAACTGACTGGCCTGCATAAGATAACGAAAAAAACCCCCACAGATTTAAGACAGGATTTTTTTTAATAGCAATTTTCTTTTGGGACAATATTGTCTGATAAAGAGTACATTTATATACATGTTTAATTTGACATTTAAATATGACTTCCCTACGAAGTCAATTTTTGTCAATTTAAATAATTGACAAAAAATATGTTTAACACTTTCAAACCTCTTTCTTTTTTGGAATAAAGAGGTTAAAATAAAATACATTATATACTTATCCAAAAATTTGATTTAAAGAGCAATATATAAAATTTTTGTTAAATGATCAAGCTTGCTATAAAAGTCTTTTTCAGGTTAAAAAAAAAAGGACTGTCATTACAAATGCTGGCCTTACATTGTTTAACTTCAAAATAAACATATCAGTTGTTGGTGTATTTTATGGGCTTAGTATGTGACATGATCTTTTCTGTACACTAATTCATGCAAACTTCTGCTGTAAACTTGTCCCTTACTTGATGCTGCTGGAACTTAATTTCACTACTATGATACAAAAAGGCTTATTTTTTCTGTTTTATGCAATTGCACATATAAACAACATAAAAACCAAACCACTTGTACTGCCTTTAAAAAAGTATTATCTTACAATTAATATAAAAAGTAATCTGAATTCATCTAACTTCAATGAAAAATTTAAGCCTTTCATTTCTCCCATCCTATGCATGCACATAGTGTTGGTATGGTTTCCTCCAAGTTTCTCTTGCACTACAACAGCCTTATTAAGTGGACAATATGGAACTGGTTTGGTGTTAGCAAAGTCTGTATTGAAACAGTTGTGTGGAAAAGAGTTATTCATCTCCACAGAACTCATATAAATTAATTAAAGTACATAAATACAGATGTCCCTTCTGCAGCACGGAGATTTGGATTGTTTAGTTTTGAAGCAGGCCAGTAAATAGAGGCTGGTCAGTGCAAATAGAACAGGGATGCTCACTATTGGCTCTCACATGAGAACTGAACAGTGTGATGGACATTGAGACATCTCTCTATATCAGGAATAAGTGCATTAGAGCACCTCAGGATGGGAGATTATATAGATTCTATGTTTGTGGTTACTTTGCACTCATTAGCTGAACGCAGGTTTGTACATGGGGAGATACAGTTTCCACTTAGAAGAAAATTTGGGGTTGTGGTGTGAAATTATCACAAATGTCACATTGAACTATAAACAGATTTAAAAGTCAAAATATGTTCACAGGCAAAATAAAAAATCATGTTTTCATAATTAAATTACCACTGCTGTCCCGATTCCTCCTCTACACTCGAGAAAACAGCTTCTCATTACAGGCATTGACGATAGAGCGTAAACACGCATGACAAAACATTAACATGATTGATGAGAGTTAAATCTGCATGATTAAAATCACGTTAGAGTGGCATTTAAATCACAGGCTAATAGTGGTCATCACTGGTTTCTGTAATTGATGGGGTGTGGATGGAAGAGCTTGTCGGCTGTTTCTGATCGGCTCTTGGCGTTCATAAAGCACCCCTTCTCTCAAGAGGTCGACATAGAGATTCCCTTGTAATGAATATTTACAGGGTATGTTAATGCATGTGTGGAACTGTTGCAAATTTTAGTGTTTCGTTTCTTCACTGCTGTTTTTTGGTTTCTCCGTGCAGACAGCTGCCTTTGAGAGAATCCCAGGAAACCGAGATCCTCTGTAGTTTACTTCTGATTTGCTGTTTGTATTCTCTTTGATGCTTTATTCGGATTGTAAAAAAAAATCATCTTGGCCTATATTGTCACTGAAAACAAAGAGGGAAGAATGTGGATTCCCTCCAAGAGAACATGCCACTAGCAGAA